TTAACTGCTAATGAACAGCTAATGAACTGCTAATGAACAGCTAATGAACAGCTAATGAACAGCTAATGAACAGCTAATGAACAGCTAATTAACTGCTAATGAACTGCTAAGGAACATTTAAGAAACAACTAACAAACAGCTAATAGACTGCTAATAAAACAGCTATGTTCAGCACTTTGTTTACAGTTGTTTCTGTTTTAAAGCGCTCTACTGATGATGATGATGATGATGATGAGCAGACGGACCACTGCTTCACTTCGTCTGATTTATCATGCAGCATTTAAACGCCCAGTTCACATTACTGCACATTTTTCTCAGGTGACTGGAGGAGACAATCCAGCAGCCCGGGGCATTCCCTGGAAGGTAGCGCTATCCAATCAGAAGTGAGCTCTACCATGACAAACGAGGAGGAGAAGGAGGGGCTCTGTCATCTGAAACGAACTTCATCATAAAACCGGTTCTTTAGTCACCAGGAGGAAGATGAAGCTAAATGGATGAACATTGAGTCCAGAACATAAAGCAGTGCTCTTGTTCTTAGCCAGCAGTCAGATGGACCTTCATCCTGAGTCATCCTCTCACATCTTTATCTAAAGTAAGCAGAGATTTGATCAGACGCTGCCGTGTGCAGCGTCCGTATGTCACGCTCAGTACGAGTCGTTCGGACCGGGTCAGTGAGGCCCGTTCCCTCTGCCCGTTCCCAGGTTTAAACTGGTTTTTCACCCAGTGGGAAAGTGGTTCTTCAGTTGCTGATGGGTCAGGTTGGGTGGAGGTTTAAGGACCCAAATGCAGACACTGAAGCTGAACTGGTTTCTTGCAGGTTTAGTAACAAAAAGGGCAACAGAAGCAAAAATCCACAAAGATAATCCTCAAAATCCCAAAATACTGAAAACCAGGAATACTGACAACAAGGAGGCAAAGAAATGATGACAAACAGTGACTGAGCAGGAAGAGAAGATATGGGAGAGAGAAACAAAGAGCAGGCTAATCAGCAGACTGGGAGCAGGCGTGGACAGAGGAGACTAGAAGGGAGCGAGGAGAAGGAGACTGACACAGGAGGGCAAACAGGAAATACCTAAGAACTCAAATAAAAAAAAAAAACTGGAATAACTACAAATGGAAATAAAACCAAAGAAAACTGAAAGATCCAAAACCCTGACAGTCCTGAATGAGCCCCCCCCCCCTCTCTGACTTAGAACATCCAACATCAGAGGATCAAAGTGAGAGAAATAATTACCTCATTAAGTGTTTCACATGTTTTTATCACATTCTGTTAGATGTTTCTAGAAATTCAATCTAAGAATGTGCTTTACTGGTCTGCATGGAGTCTGTTGGTGACTATGGAGGAGCTGCAGAGACGGACTGCTCAGGAAGACACAACATCTATGCAATGTTCACTAAGAAGCACTTTATGGCTGCGATGATGAATAAATAAATAGTAAACTCTGAGCGTCTAGATGCTAGCTAGCAGCAGAGCAGGCGCAGCTAAACAACCTGCTTAGATGGGACCAAAGATTTCCTTGCTTAGTGAAAAGAGCCAGGTGGGGGAATCCCTCTGAACAGAACAGATGACGCATGGTAAAGGCAGCATAATGCTATGGGAACCACTGGAAATGCATTCCTGTTGGGCTGACGTCGGCCTTCCAGCGGCGCCTGATGCCTCCAGATCATCACTTCCTTCATTAAACTGAAGGCGCCTTCAGGTCCATCAGCCTGCTGAAGCTCTTTCTACTCACCATGAAGTGGGGCTGAGTCAGTATCCGTCTCAGTTCTGCAACCTCCAACTTCTCAGGGTGGCAGGAGATTTCTTCCAGAACCTGAGGAGAAAGAAAGGAGTTTCCATCATCTGCAGGTCTGTGGTATGGCCCAGCTGCCCCCCCATCATGTCTGAATTACTGTCTGAACTGTGAGCGCTGTCGTTTCCTCAGGACTGAACTGTCTGGAAACTCTCTGGAGTTTAACCTGAAAAACTGATCCACCTGTTCATGGATCTTAACATCAATTCTACTTTTAGAGCGAAAACTGGATCCGCTCCGATGCGTTCTACTCTACAGACTCCACCGGTCCTGAGCTCAGGTCCAGGAGCCGTTACTGAACAAAACCACAAAAGAAGAACTTCAGAACATCAGAGAGGAGAGGGAGTGGCTCACCTGTTTGGCTCTCTGCACCGCATCACTGGCGGGGTTCCGGCTCTGCGGCGCTGACTTGGTGTTGATCTTATCGTAGAGCTGAAATGAAAAGAAGAAACCAGTAAATAATCCTGGGCTTCCAGTTTATTGCACCTCAGATCGTTTTTCCAAACCATTTCCTTTTAGAAGCGGATCAAACTGGGAAATGTTCATTTCTCTTTCACATCCATGCCTATCAGATGGTCCAGGCCCGTTAGCACGGCCCTGACCAATCAGGCGGGCTGAGTTAGAACTGGAGCCGTATGAACCCTGAGGTCCCACAGCTCTGTGTCACATGTTCAACAGCTGGATGTGAGGAACTCTCCAACCAAACCAAATATCCTGACAGGTATTCTGTGGCAGCACGCTCACCAGGTCCTGGACCTAGCAAGGCTTTATCTGGTGGACGGCTGCTTTGAGTCCATCAGGTGAAGACCGCCCGACTATGGGAGCCTGAAGTGGTCAAATGGCCGATTTATTTGATGAGAAAATAAGACAATGTCTTCTGTTATGTTGCATATCTGAGCCATTGATATCCTGAGGTGAGAAAACATTCGTCGGCGCAGACAGAGCGCCTGCATATCTTAGGGGAAGACCATGACATCACTGGGTCATCATGGCTGATATGGCTAACAGAGAATATTTAAGCCTCCAAACTCATGACATGAAACGTCTCAACATGACCAAAAAATACCGCTAAGCTAGCGCTAAAACCTGTTCTAACCTCTGAGTTCAGGAGCGTCACCTCCTTTAATTTCCCTTCCTGCTGGATGTAACTGAGCTCCAAAGCATCAGGCTTCAGTTTGCTCACCTGCTGCGGTTTGCAGAAAATCAGGTGCTGTTAGATGTTTCTCCTCAGGTTGAAGGGCCTGAATGAACAGTTGAAGCAGACGTCCTGAACAGCATTCTGACCCAATCAGAGCAGAAACCACCAGAACCGCCTGACTGAACCGCGCCAGCGATGTTTGGCATTTTCACCTGCCCTGACCTGCAGCCTGTCAGCAGCCTGTCAGCGCGCTCAATCCACTGGTCGGGATCAGGCGACCACTTCTGCTTCCCGTCACCCGGGGTGACACCACTGTGAATCTAACCACTGGCCGCTCAGCGCGGGTTAGACGCCTAAACAACCTGAGTTTAGATCAGACTCCAGCAGCTACGTTCAGTCACAGGCGGGGAGGAACAGGTGAACACACTGAACCCCAAAAACAGGCAGGAGAGAGGAGCTCGCTCATATTTACCTCCAGGCATGACTCGACAGGACGCCGTTCCTCCGAGCACGCCAGGAAAACAGGAAGTAAACAAAGATCCAAAGCGACGGCCGTCTGAGGGACAAACACCAGCAGAGCTCCTAGAAGTTCCAGCGCTCCATCAGAACGTCTGCAGGCTGTCTGAGCGCTGCGGTGGCTGCTGGTGAGTGGCACCGAGGCTCACAACAGCCACCATTGTCCCCCCCACCCAACCCCCCCAGGCTGGGGTCTGCTCCAATCCCCCGCTCGCCTCTTCAGGGCAGGGAGGGAGGGGGGAGAGCACGGAGTAGAAAAGGAGACATCTGCAGCTCCCACTAACAGTCTGACTGATTCAGCCTCTATGAAGCATCTCTGTTCTCAGACCGCCAGATTAAACTGGGCCTTAAACCGCCGCCTTCGTTTGATCAATGGCGGTCTGAGATTAAACTGGGCCTTAAACCGC